GTGTGCCGATGTGGTTTAAATGGGCAGTGGACGGTTTAGTTCCCTGAACAGAACATGAATTATTCTGAGTAAAGATACAGTTTTGGAATCAGCTCGATGTTCGGCTCCCCGTGTTGGCATAATTGGCAGATGTTCATGTTTTGGGGCTCCCTGTGCTTGAAAAGTGCATGCATAAAAGATGTGCCTCACAGTAATGTGTAACTCCAGCTCTCAGGGGGACCTTGAGTTCACGCTGGCCATGTAAAATACAGCACAGCCGTCATATTTTGACAATGATACTGAAATATTGAAATAGTTCTTCTCTGGTGGATCAGAAAATATATCCTTCGCTCTGCTGTACTTGTAATTTGACCAACAGAAATGGAATCAGACTTTTTAATGGGCTTTATATGTTTATCCCCCATAATTGTCAAATGTGTTTTTTATAGTCATTAGGCTGCCTAAGTAGCTAGAAACAAATAGTTTGATGATGTGAACATTTACCAGGAATAAACATGGCCGTTTAAAGATGCCATACTTGAATCAAGGTTTAGTTGAATGGTAATGCAGTCACTTGATAAGTGTAAAGGACTTCTTACCTGGAGTAATGTTTGGACAAGCTCTGCATCTTGAGCTTTAAGAAGTTGCACAGCGAATTAGGCCAGTGACTGTGTTGACACACCAAGGCTTGCATGTTCGTCGGTGGCTAAGCAGATGTGTGGATGTCACTGAGATATGCACATTCATTCACTCCACCAGATGGGTGGCCCTATTACGTCTCACATCATAAATCCTTGACACATAATTTGTCACAATCCCTCAGGCTGAATGTAGAAATGAGTTCTGCCGGCTATGAAAGATGCAAAAGTTTTAGCCATTCCCCTGCAGTGAGAAAAAAAAAAACGTGTCAGTCATTCTGTTGTGCATGGCCCTCGGTCAACATGCATTCACACACTGTTTACAGGAGCAACGTCCTATCAGTTTCCTTTATTCTTTCATTTACTTTTGTTGTTTATGTTTAAGAAGTGAACTAACAGCTCATCTTATTTGGATATATCTTACTGGAAACAATAATATCAGAAAAAGTATTCCTATCAGATTTCTTTTACTTTTCAATAATTGATGTTGATCACACATAGTACTGTCACACAAGTTCATGCAAAGGAAAGTTCCCTGGAGACATTGCACTACTTTGAGTTATTGAAAATGTTTTTTATATTAAATGAAGCTAATTATGTTTTTTTTATGTGTGTGTTTGCCCTGCCTGAGTACAACTCAAAAGTCTGTGGCTCATTTTGTTGTGATACGCCAACATAATAATGTTGTTCTGTAAGCATTCAAACTGACGGCGACAAAACTGCAGAGTTGTTAAATCAAGCGTAGTGGAGTATGTAGGATATAACACCTTGTTGTTTTCCCACCCTCGCTCCTGACGCCCCTACCTATCTGTATGCTGTATATTTGTTTGTCCTCACGACTTTCATCTCCAAGACCTCTCCCCATGGTTGGCAGAGAATATACGACAGAAGTTAACCTGAATGGAATGGAAACCCTGACCTCTCCCACATAAACACTAACACAGGCTTGACTCAGCTGCCGTTTAGTTTGAATGATATCTCAATTCCCTCTCCGCTGCCTTGGAGAAGAAATACCACCACCTCTCCCCCTGTCAACAGCAGTAATTCAAATGTTTGTCGGATGCCTCATAACACCACAAGGCTTAAAGGGTCTCAGTCTGTGTGACACATCCGACGGAGGCGTCCTTAAGATGCTGTAAATTGCAATATACAGTATATCTGTTGTAATCTCTACATGAAATACTCAGGGTGTAGGAGATTCTGGGATTGCTTTTAATTGATTCTGAATCTTCTTTCACTCCTGCAAATCATCATTTTGTGTACAACAAGGCCATCTCAGAAAAATGAATCTAGAGTTATCTGTAGTAGTACTTTATGATATAGAGGAAGACTGAACATTAATAAGAAGAAATACAAAAACATACTGTATGCTGTACACATTTCTGTTCAAATGTGGATCAGTAACCCCCCCCCCCCCATAAGTAGAGCCCACGACTTAATTCAATGATGTTCCAGACCACCAACATCCAGTAATTTGAAAAAGAATCATGGAGGCACAGACAACTGAGATCAAACTATAAATATGTAAGTTTGTATACAAAGTTCAACTTGATTATATGTAACAAAGCCATATTTCTGAGAAAAACAACAACATATTAAAAATGTATAGAAAATGTGGGAAAAATACAAAATTATAAGCATTAGTTAAAAAAATCACCCAGTGTACAGGATTCATTATTTCACATCACAGATAACAACTCTAGTTTTTTAAAGGTTAAGTTTTAAAGCCCAAAGTAGATAAGATACAAATGTGTATAGGAAATCAATTCCTGTATCTATACATGTAAGCATATTTAATTTGGACAGTAGACGATGTGCATGCCTGAACCCTTTATGCTTTAATAACGTGGATTCATTTGTTTACCCCGTAACAGCAGATGAAAATAAATTACGGACAATCCAACGGTGATGACAGTGTCATATATATATGCGAGTTAACCCGCCATCAGCAAAGCAGTGAGGAGCTTTCTGCTAAGATCTGCACATTTTTCACTTACAGGACTCCCCCAACCCCCAAGACACACAAACACACACACACACACACTATTTCTAACCAAATTCCTCAGCGTTAGAATGCACAGCTCAGCATTGCAATCACAGTAAACCAACTAATAAAAGAGCAATCGGATTAAAAATGTAACATAAAATGTATCTTAGCTTTACCATTTTAATGCCGTCTCAGTCATAATGTGCTGTGCTGATCAACATCTAGATATTTAGATATGTATTTACCCTTAGGCACATTATTCCTTTAAGGCTTCAAATGTTATTTGATTGCACAAGTAATGTAGAATATAATTATTTAACACATTTTGACCTTTTTCCATTTCACTGAGCAAGATCGATTGTTTAAAAATTCAAAACAGGAATCATTATCCCACCTTAGGCGTTCATTTTTATTTCGCAGACATTGTGCTGACTGGACCGCTGCACCACACTTCTTCTTTACAACGTGTCTGGTTTTGGCAAAACTGAAGGGAAAAGCTACAAGAAGGCAATATTTAATTTATACTAAGAGTATTTCTTCCACTGCACTCTGTAAGGCCCTCCGGTCACATATACGGAGCCGATTTCAAAAGAAAAGGTTCCTGTATTCAGCCAAGTTTCCTCTATCATTGTCCATGTTAAGCAGGTATGTCTGTTGTAACAGAGGTTTCAGAAGAAGGATGTGTGTTAGGAGCCTCGGTGAGATAGGAAAAATACAGGGAGGAAAATCTATTTCTGCAGAGTTATCTGCTCATCCTCACTGCAGGGTTCAAGTTATTACCGTCAGTGTGTATATTTCTCTCCACACAAAGCTCAACAGCACTACATCGGCTGTCATAGTACAGAAGCATAAAGATCTCATGGAATATATAGACTTGGCACATGCTGCATGAGGCATTGTTGGAGTCACTGGATTTTCAATCCAAGCCGAGCTACTCAGCAGCAGCCTTCGGGGGCAAATGGCTGTTATAATCCATTTTGAAAGAGACATTTCCCATTTGGCCCAGCCAGGCACGACTTTCCCTCTTTTCAGAAAGGATGGAGTTGACACTCGTTGGAATAAGACTGAGACTCTCAGCAACACGTCTGAATCACAACCTTTACAGCTAGGGGCTAATCTGGGCTGACGAAAGCACATCTTAGATTGTCCAACCGTTGCACTTGGAGGTTTTTTTTTTTTAGCACAGGGAGAACTCAGACTGATCACAGAGATCAGTGTCTTCTCTTTATTTAAGCGCCGTATATCTTTCTGCATCTTGTACAGAAAAAACAGCATATGCAGCTTACAGTGTACAGCCATAAAGGAGGATCCGAGTCTTTTTAACACATGCAAGAAACACATAGCATCTGCTTCACCTGAATAGCAGATTATATTTAGCGTATGCAGCGTCTCTTAAAGCCAATTAGTCACATTTGAGTTGTGATATTTTTGGGGAGGTGTGAATAGAGAATGACAAGACGTGCTCGCTGAAGGAAACATCATGTGTACTGTAGAAGAAGGTGGGGTTGGACAAAGAGGCCAAACTCTATTTGTTTGTTTTAGATAGGCTAATTTACCTTCTCACTGTATAGGGATGCAAGTCAGCACAATGAAACAGTTTGCAGACTACAAAGGAAGTCCAAAAGCCTTGTTAGGCCCTGTGACTCTCTGAATTGCTTAGTAATATGCGACGTACAGCAATGTCCCCACAGAATTTTCTCTGGAGTAAGGTGTTCTTGGGCTTTAGTGCCTCAATAAAATTGGGCTATACCTTTGATGATCCAACCCACTGCTACTGAAAGCGAAATACACACCTCAGAGAAATTTACTGCTCCCTAGAATGTGATACCAAAGCAATTAGTGTCGGAGAGATTGGTAGGCATGAAAAATCCTTACAGCATGCCTTGGAGCCAATACAAAGGCAATGCATCTCAGTTTTACGGCCCCATTGCTTATTCAGTCTTGTTTGGTGTTCCTCTCCAAGACTCCAGAGTCAGTGGGGAATTATCATGACAGGGCAATAAATTACTCTTGCATTTAGCATAAAGTCTCCCAATAAAGATTAGACTATAGGATAGTGTGGTGTCCGGGGGGCAATATAAACAATTCCCATAGGGAAAATGTTGTTGCTTTGTGTAATCAAAGGGGAGAAAGTCACACAGTCGGCTTAAAACTTTGTAATAGTGCATTAATCAGGACATCAATAACAGCTGGCACCCCCCTCCATCCTTCGTGTTATCAATCTTAATACGTGCCAATACGTTGTGTTGCAAAGCATCAAAGGGAATGCAGTTTATTTGTATTAAGAAAGCTCTAATTTCACTGGTTTATTCATCTGCCATTCAAGCATATGAGTGTTGCTTTAAATAGCTTTGACATTTTTTGAGCACCATCAGACTGTCCGCAGGAGAAGGACCATGAGATGGCGGTAAATTCCCTGTGGGAGGCAGCTTGGGTCTGTTTATGTAGCGTAACAAACAGCCCTAAATGTCAATGAGTGGACTCGCTCCGTGAAGGACACAAAGTGACTGGGTTGCATTATTTGCCACGAGTCTGACGGATTACTTGGATTCCTGTAAAACAGCATGTAATCTAGCAGCCTGTGGGGACAGGGACTCAGCCTAGACACAATACTGCGAGGAAAAGGCTTGTTCACTCGTTAAGACCCTGTCTTTTGGAAGACACACATGCACACACAGATATGCAGACGCACTCGGAAACAGACACAAAGGCATGCACTCATACAGGCACAGAGAAGCTCTGTCTGGAAAGCTGTTGCATAGATTGTGATGTTTGCTTGTCCCATTGGACTGCAGAGCTTAGTTATCCACTTATGTACGGAGTTTAGTCCAAAACAGTTTTAATTTCATCTTAGACTGGCCAGAAAGATGTATACACACCGCAGGGAGCGGAGGGATCAGAAGTGCCATGTGTCCTAATAAGCTCTTTTGTGTTCTCATTAATTTGTTGCTTATCTTGCCGTGTACAGCTTGTTGATTGTTTATTTTTTTTATACTTGTGATAACAGACCGGGAGAGAAAACTGAGAGTGATGAAATTAATTTTCTTAATCATTTTGTCTCCAGTGAATGACATTTCTTTGTTCATTTCACCCTAATTGTCCATTTTATTCCCCTTTTTAGGTCTGTTGTTCGATTTTCTCCTCTAGTGAAATTTCCGTTAGGGAAGTAATTATCTTTTCATGGTCTTTATCCAGAAAAGGTATTAAATGAAAAAGTCAATGCAAGTAAATATCAAGTGTTTTCCTGTTTATTTGGAAGAGACCACATGCAAAACGACTGTGCAATGCTCATTGTTGTTCTGGAAGGAAAAGAGTGCTACTATGGTAATCAAAAGTTTAATATTAAAGGAAAATATTGCAAACTAAGGCCATAGGTACTACAGACAGGGTCCTTCACTTTCTTCAATGACATCTCTGTTGTTTTCACCCTCCATGCTTGTCTCCTCACAGGTTGGCTATAAGCACCTTCACCAGAATGAACACCAACTCCTCCGATGAGTTCTTCCAGGCCACAAACCATGCAGAACAGACTTTCCGCAAGATGGAGACCTACCTCCAGCACAAGCAGCTATGTGATGTCCTCTTGATAGCAGGCGATCACAAGATACCAGCTCACAGGTTGGTGTTTGTGCTTCGGCCCACTTGACTTGTATCAATTAAACCGGCATCAGCTTGAGTTAAGAGATGCTGAAGCTCATCAGGATCCACTTCATTAAGTATATCAATGTGTGCACATCCAGGCTTTGGTCTGGACCTCAGCTCACATGTTGGTAATGATTCTGTCAGTTCAAATCCATATGAGGGTGTATCTGAGGAGTCTTTGAAAAACAAAGAAAGATTCTTTTGATTTTCAGGTGACAGGGGAGATGTGTAAACAGCAAGTTCACTGGTTTGCATCTAAAGAATGCCCTCTCCTCATGTCCACATTACATTTGAGATGAGAAGAACTCATGGATCCATACATGTAGGGGTCTATCTTTGGGCATCTGGCCCTCGGTTGAATGGCTGAATCGAACAAATCGCATGACTTCCCGTGATTGCTGCTGAGAGGAATTCACTCTTCATGTGCTTGTATGTCTGGATCTACAGAACATTTTGTTAGTTCATCCAGGCAGACTCATGAAAGGGAAACCAGAATACTCCATAGAGAGAGAAAGACGTGTATCAGTGACTGACCTAGTTGAGTAAAGTGATCCTGCTCTGACTGCCTCTTTCCATGTGGCTTTATTTTCGCTCAGAGGACACAGCCATGTAAAGCAGGAATGGCTTATAGACATATGTACATGAAAACCAGAATGTTTTGCAAATAAAGGTGTAGACTGTAATTCTTGATCTCTGCTTTCCTTCATGAATCAACCAGTGTGTTATGTGAGCTTGACAAATGAGCTAATTCAATTAGAAGTCTGACCTGTGTAGCTAGTAGCAACATAAAATGTATCATAAGCTGACGAGGTATGATACATAATTTGGGCTTAACTGTAAATTAATGAAATGCTCATACATTCTGGCATAAAGTAAAAACATCAAAGCGGCATGAATCACAGATAGAAACAGTACGACATGTAATTATTACGACATAGTGAGTACATGCCTTTTCTTTGAAGGAGGACAACCTTATGATTGATTAGACTACCACTTAACATAATAAGTATATAGATCTCCCAGAGGAACTACTGTACAGCATAATAGCATTAACTCCCCGTGTTTCCCTTTATGACAGACTGGTCCTGAGCGCGGTGTCCGACTACTTTGCTGCCATGTTCACCAGCGACGTGAGAGAGGCAAAGCAGGAGGAGATCAAGATGGAGGGAGTCGATCCGGAGGCGCTCAGATCTCTCGTTCATTTCGCCTACACTGGTGAGTGCTCATAAAGACGTTCACTAGCTCTTGTAAGTAGTTATGAGACTTCTGAAATCCAGCGTCATTAAAATGGATCAATAAGGCCATTCATCACTGAGCTGACAGACCGGGCATGTACAACATTGTTCCATTTTTACAGGATAAATCCTCTTGGATAAGTGCTGCTCATTTGGAATATCCTCTGCCACAATATTACATTTGTTCAATGGAGGAAAATAACTTAGCTGTGTTTGAATTGTGCCCATTTATCATGAGGTTGTACAAAAAACAAGTTAATTTACTCAAATTCAATACATCAGCTTAGGTTTTTCCTTCTTGATAAAGCACCCAATAAATGTCTCAGTAATTTAGCACTCTGAAAAATAAATAGTTTACTATTGGTGCTCTAACTGTTTACACACACTTATGATTAAAGATGTTGATGCTGCCACACACTGCTGTGTGAGCGATAATGGCTACCTCTGGTCCTGACACAAAAACACATTTTCCTTGTCCTGACATTGCAGGCGTCCTTGAGCTCAAAGAGGACACCATTGAGAGTTTATTAGCGGCAGCTTGTCTCCTCCAGCTTCCACAAGTCATCCAGGTCTGCTGCAACTTCCTGATGAAACAGCTCCATCCTTCCAACTGCCTGGGCATACGCTCCTTCGCAGACGCCCAGGGCTGCATGGATCTGCTCAACGTGGCTCATAACTACACCATGGTAGGTGGGGGGGGGGGGGGGGGGGCAATTTTGAGCTGCACCACGTTTACACAGCTGGGTGGGCTACATTATTTATTTTCTCAATAAGGGATTGTGCGTGCAAAGCAACTCTTCATTGCATAAAGACTCCGGGGGCAGCTGCAGTAATGAGACATATATTAGTGACAAGAGTGTTTAAAAATGCAGTGTAATTACAAATTCATAAACTTTCTCATAAGGCAGTCGACAATATAGTGAGTCATATTAACTGTGCTTCACTTCTCTAAGGTGCTGACAGGACGTTTAGCCATTTTAAAGCACATATCTGATTCTTAGTACCTTACATGTGATTATACAATGGGATTTGTTTTTTCATTCACCCGGCTATATGATAACGTCACAGCTTGGTAGACTGTTCATAACACATGGAAATATATGTGAGCATCCTCTGAACTGAAGCTAGTTCATTTAAACAACCTGTCATAAACTGTGAAGGAGCACGCTGTTGGCGCTTCCCTTTATTCATATCATCTGATTTCAGCAGACAAACTTGCACATTTGAATAGAAATGGAATAATTTCAGGCCTTCACCTTATCTAAATTGGTTATACGTCCGTCAGTAAGGACTACTGTACCACGTAGTTGCACATTGATTAGTGCACTGCCAGACATGTGGAAATGAATTCTCTCTCTCTCTCTCTCTCTCTCTCTCTCTCTCTCTCTCTATATATATATATATATATATATATATATATATATATATATATATATGTATGTACATATATCTGCGAGGAATATTTGCATTGGATTAAGATTCATGCTCATATTTGTCTGATAGTGTCCCGCTGGCCGTGCAGAAGTGACAGCGGGAGGGAAGCGTTATCTCCTAAAGGACATCTGCTCTGCCTGTTTACGTAGGCCCCGTCGAGAAGCAGGAGGTTAATCTAATCATCAAACTGCAAAAGAGGGCCAACTTCCTGTTCAATCACTCCAGTAATGAGCAGAGAGAGCTGCGGGCTTCCTGGAAGTCCAACCTCTGGGTTCTGAGCGGAGCGAGTTGTGTTTTGATAAGCTTGTTTTTCCTGGTTGAGCGTGGCAGTAGAGATCTGCCCCTGACATCCCTTTCCTTTCTGAAGAAAAGTTGGCCTTTTTATGTTGTAGGAGATAAAAATGTTTTGTAGTGTGGGATGACTGTAATTCTTCTTAGCAGCAAAACATTATTCAGCTGCATATCCCAATATGAATGTTCCTCAGCTAAAACTAATAATGAAATGTGGTCCTCTGTGTTTATAAGCCCTTCTCTAAATTGCATGGTAAAAGAAACGTTTTTGGAGGTAATTCTCACTGCCTCACTCCAATTAAACATCAGCATTTGCCTCCTCAGAAAACACTGTTATTACTCAATTACTCTTTTGCAGTAGTTAAATCAATTAGTGTCCTCTCCAGCTGATCTTGTTTTCCAAACCATTTACCCGCCAATGAGTTTGCCAGCATGTGAAAACACTTCCCTTCAAATGGTTATGAAACAAACTTGGTCGAGCTGTCAATTTTTGTTGATGGCTTTTCAGGACTTGTAATTACAAATAATTGGTCTCAGGCATCGTCAAAGACTTGGACGGAGTTGCTCTCTTAGTGTTACCACAGCAGATCAATAGATGTCCCTCATTTCATTAAGGCTGTTGGCGTTAAGCTCTTAAAACCTGCTCTCATAATGGATCGGACCAAGACGCTGTAATTTGCTGCAAGCTGATGATCAATAGTGTGCTTGTATTTTGTAATTGTTGCGCAGTGAGTAGTTGATTTGTCAAAGTTATCCTGGCAGCTTCATAATTAAGGCTCAGCAGCCTCTTTCCAAAAGGGAAACAGGGCATGATTATGGCCAAGGATTGCTCACATGTCTTTCATGTGTTGAATATATCATGCTGCAGTCGAGCGACAGTGTTTTATATATCATTATCTCTAATGGAAGTGCCCAGAGACAATGTCCTTGAAGAGGTAGCCATGCGGTGCAGTAATACAGCCTGGGCTTCTGGCCAGTGAATGGGAGATCAATCTTCAGTAAGGCACTTGAGAACAGCTTCTACAAAACTTAGAGCTGGACACTGCATTGGTGTGATGTAAATGTTGGTGTGCGGTGCATTTGTGTTTCCAATTACACGGATTGTGAAGGCTCAATGTGTCTTACATATTTAGCTGCAAAGCTAAATATGCTTACGAAGAGGATTTTTTTGGAGATGCACCAGATTGATTTGTTAAATAATGTAAGGCAGATTATTTATTAACTAAGTAAAACACATTATTATCTTTTAATTCAAAATGATTTAAGTATAGGCAGTATTTTCAGTGTGGTGGTCAGTTACATTGCTTTGCATCAGTATTCAGTGGCCTTGAACTTTTCCATGTTTTGTTTTGTTACCACTGCATCAGAAGGGATTTAGTTGGGGTTGTTTTTAATGGAACACAAAATTGTCCAGGATTTTGAAGTGGGAGTGGCGGATATTACTTTGTTAATTTTAAACATTTTCATAAATTTATGAAAAACCTTGACATTTTTTGTGCTATTCTCTGAAACTACAAACTAAGAACGGATTAAACCTTTTCTTCCCGTCTTTGTCCTTGTGCATTTTGGTCTCCATGGGTAAAAAAGAAAAACCTCAAACACACAGAGCTGCACCACGCTAACCCCTTGGCTAATGACTGATGATTATCTGCCTCCTCCTCGTCTCCTCTGTGTTCCAGGAACACTTCCTGGAGGTCATTCAGAACCAGGAGTTCCTGCTTCTCCCCACGGCAGAGATTGTTAAGCTGCTCTCCAGCGATGACATCAACGTCCCCGACGAGGAAACCATCTTCCAGGCTTTGATGATGTGGGTGCGGTATGATGTTCAGCATCGACAAGAGGATCTGGGGGTGCTCCTCGCTTTCATTCGCCTGCCTCTTCTTCCTCCCCAGGTGAGAGAGCAAGTAATAGGGTAGACTTGGTGGCTGAGAAAAAGGCAGGATAAGGATCTAATGATGGGCTTTTGTTTGAGATGGTAGCTGAAGGTTTTTCTGTCACAACTGCAGGGTAATAGCATGGCTTCTGTATGTTTGTCCAGTTCAGTTTGCTGGATTGTTTTTGACACATTTTGACAAATGTCTTATTGATTACGCAGGATTTCAGCTATGTAGGCTGTACAATGATGAGAATACATTTAAAAAAGCTGGACAAAGATTCTTTTGAGCCTGATATGACATATTCAGAAATCTTGTTTTGTCCAAGCAACAGTTTACAATCCAGTTTAAAATCCAAGCATATTTAGTAAATGACTATATTAAACATAAGTAGCAACCAATCTTCAGTTGATGTCCTGGAACAAGGGCATGTTTAGCCTCTATGATGAGAAATGGCTGCATCAGTTAATGGATTATCTAAAGAGTTCCTGATTACTTTTCTGTCAACTAATTGATTTACTTTTTATTTCAGCTTAAGGTCCCATACATTCACTGTGAGAGAACCAACTGGCACACACTCAATCTTTGAACTGACCACTGACAGGCTGTAAAGTAATGCATCGTTAATAATCACTTGGTTTATGTTAGGAGCTTTAGTAAAGACAACCCCACCCTCTTCAGTGATGAATCAATCTGACAATATGATAGATACACATGACCTTTTATGATTACAAGGACCTCAAACCTCAATAGCTTATTTATGTTTAAACAAATACACACATGTTTGAATTCTGTATTTCTGACAAATGAGGATATATCAGATAAGTCATTATTGGCAGATCTGTTGTATGAGAGTGTTTCTCCCTAAACTAATGCATCTTCATTTTCACTGACGAGTGACTGAACTCAAAACTAATCGTGCATACGTAATTCTTATTTCACTATTTTTATTTTTAGTCACAACAATGAAGTAAATGTCCTATGAATGAAAAATATGTCTTAGTATTATCTAATACAGGAGTAATACATTTAATCTATTGTCTGGGAATAACATGTTTGCTTTGAGGCAAATGAACAGAACTGATTGACTGCATTTGAAAGTCTTGGCCTGTATTTAGTAGAAACTGAAACGATAAGCAGCAGCAGTGTTATTGATGTGTCTTTCAGGCTTGAGATCAATAAATATATACCAAAGCTTCATTCATAAAAATGTATTTAAGCTTCTCTTTGCTCTGCAGCCTTTTGCATTTGATGAAAAAAAAAAAAAACTGCTCAATGATAAACTCAATGGTTATAGAAATACAACTATTTTGATTTTACACACACAGCCTTTTACTGCATACCTTCAAATAACACTGAAGCCATTCTCTATTAGGCTTCAATAGCAGTCGAGTAATGTGATTTTATGTCATTTAGCTCCTTGCAGATCTGGAAAACAACAAAATGTTTTCTGATGATCTGGAATGCCAAAAGCTGCTGATGGAGGCCATGAAGTACCATCTTCTCCCGGAGAGACGTCCCATGTTTCAGAGCCCAAGAACCAAACCTAGAAAGTCTACTGTGGGTGCACTTTATGCTGTAGGCGGGATGGATGCTACCAAAGGTATGGCTCATAGGCAGTGGTTATCACTACACAGCAGCACAGTTTATTGACACTTTAATACATTTCTGTTTCTTTGGTTTTAGGGGCCACCACCATTGAGAAGTACGACCTGCGGACCAACACGTGGGTCCAGGTTGGAGTCATGAACGGGCGGCGGCTGCAGTTTGGCGTGGCGGTCATTGACAACAAGCTGTATGTGGTCGGAGGGAGGGATGGACTGAAGACGTCCAACATGGTGGAGTGTTACAATCCAATCAATAAAGTATGGTCCACCATGCCCCCAATGTCAACACACAGACATGGACTTGGTAAGTAAGTCGTTAGCAGCAACTGCTCCAGTTGATTCATTTAAAGAAAACACTTCTATATATTGTTATAATAACAGAAAAACATTCAACATTTCAGGTCTATAAATCATGTGAGAATCATGCTACCATTCCAGGTTATCATCTAAAAAGTATAAAGTATACTTTGTTTAAAATTTGTCATTAAAATAGTGCAAGATACCCTTTAAAATTTCAAATGACAAAAGAAAACTTTTGCTTGATTGAAATACAAGGTTTTTCGAGAATACATGACAGAGAAATACAGCTGACACAGCAATTTTTAAAAACGAAATAATAGCTAAATCAACATTTATCATCTACATAAATCATGAACAAAATCTTTGTTACTTTTCTAAAAGATACACATATGCTTTAATGTGAATAGTAACGTCGATCTGTATATTTTAGCTCAATTCATTTGAACCTTATTACTATTCTTTCAGAGGACGCCGATAATGAAAAACATTTTTTTTCTGACTACTTCAAAGTTTGAGGATTTAACTCAGTCAGACTACCCGCTGTTATGAAACAGCAGAGATTGCAGGATGCATGCTCAGGAGGGTCACAGCTGGCATGCTGTAAAACTCATACATTTCTTTTTTTTTTTAGATAGACCTTTGATATTTTCCCATTCCCCCTATCAAAGCCTGGCAGGCTGCTCTGGCCCTGCTCTTCCTTTACCCCTCCCTGGCCAATAAATCTGATATCAGAAGCGTTTTGATTCACAGTTGAAACGAGCCTGAGTAACAGAACAGGGAGATCTTGTCAAAGCATTCAGCTCCCACACCCGGTGTGGTCGGAGGTATCAGCGAGCCCAGGAGATCACACTGTACGGATTACCTGTTTCCACTTTCATCTTTCCCACAGCAAATATCTCTTGCTGCTTTGCTTGTGGCGTGCATATTTAGAGTCTGAATATATCTGAGCTTAGTGTCTACTAACCACCCTGCTGTGTGCATTTTGTGTAAAGACAAGGAAAGGGAAAGTATACATTTCTTATTCCAAAAACCACCACTCAGTAATAACAGTGAGTCTGGCTATGAGAATTCTCTCTGAAAGTTTTTGTGTTGTTCAAACTTCTCTGGATGCAGCCTTGCCCTCATTTCCCTGTGAAGTTATTGAACTCTCACCTACAGAAATAAGGGTGGTAATGTAAAAAAAACCATTGTCCTTAAACATCCTCTACAAAGTTTTCTGGCAAAAACACACGTTCCTCCGTGACTTGGGGAATCAGGAACAACAATACAGTTTTATGGTCTTCCTGTTTTGAGAAAATGTTTGGCAGTATGACTCACTCTGTCCAGCTCTAAAGTGAGACACAGCCCTCGGCCTGAGCACTCTCCAAGAATGATGTCGAGGAAGTTTAAAATAGAAAAGACATTTCTTTAATCACTTACATACATTACCTAGAGCTGATAGGATGTTTTATGAAGACAGTTTATAATCAAAGGTGCAAAAGTAATCTGTGTTTGATTTGCCTAAATAGAGGTTTTGATTTCAATGATGGCATACTGTTTACACATTGTGCAATTCCTTTTTTTTTGCAGATGAGACAAAATGTCTTTGTTCTGGAAAGGATTTGAAGACAATTACAGAAACTATAGTGTGTGAAACTTCAGAGGTGGTTTAATCAAAATAAATGATCCTTGAATTGGAATAAAACTAAAGTTGTGATTTTTGTAAATAAAAAAAATGATGATTTAACGTAACAGTACAAGTACAACCGTTCAAGATACGAAGAGAAGCAATATCCAAACGGTAAACAATGGGTTAGCCATCTGATTCCGTATCAACAGTAACTTATGTTATTAAGAGAGCGAACTTTCTACTTCTTGTGGCCATCTTTGCAGGCATTGCAGTCCTGGAGGGTCCTATGTACGCAGTGGGCGGTCACGATGGCTGGAGCTATCTCAACACGGTGGAACGATGGGACCCGCAGGCCAGACAGTGGAACTACGTGGCCAGCATGTCGACACCACGCAGCACCATGGGAGTCACTGCTCTCAATGGAAAGTAAGTTACTCTATCAAACCTGTACACCACCCAAACTTAGCTTAATGCTTACACTGTGATGCTAAAACACATATGATAAGATTTTCCCTGGACTCTATATAGCTGCAGTTACAAAAAAGAAACAAAGAAGAACAAAGAAATCACAGGTCAAACTTATTAAAGGCAATCTGCACCAGAGAGGAGAACAATTTCACAAGCTGTTTATTACAGCACATTCTTCTACACAGATAGCACATACATGCACAAACACTATAGTACTACATGGAGTGCCTTTACATGGACTTGAGTATCCCGGTTTTGATTGGGGTTTTAAGTATCCCGTTTTTGTATTTCTGCATGTAAACATCACATCCCGATTTCAGAAACCGGGATTCTAGTATTTATCATGAATACAGGGATATGAATAACCAGGTTTCTCTGTGTGCATGTAAATGCCATATCCCGAATATGATCAAAACCGGGATGCTCAAGTCCATGTAAACGCACTCACATGAGACTTTTTTTTACTGTCCTTATGATGACCTAATATTGCACACATTGTCTCTTATTGCACAGACCTTACACTGTTGTATTTGTGTTGAAATGTATGGAGCCTGAGGTCAAGGTCACTGGCAGGTTAAGGCCACAAGTAGAGTACATGGAGTTAGAATGACACTGTTAGAGTATTGAAAGGGCCTTGACTGCCTTCAGTATAGATTTCCTTTTTAAATGATAAACAGTTGCCGTATGTTAACAGTATCCAGTGCTGCTGCATGTTTATCCAGTACTTTCTTTCGATCCTGTCGGAGAGGAGGAGTTCACTGAATTAGATTTTGAACGTCTAAGGTCCTTCTCTGAGAGCAGATGTGTCCTTCTACTTTGCTATAATTATTACCGTACTCATCTGAATGTATTGGAGTTCTGACTATGTCTGCCATCAAACTGCAGAACGCACTCAAATGAAAAAAGTACCAAAAATCTTTAACACTGCAGCATGTTTGCTTTGAACAACCAGTCAGCACTAATGTGCTGTATTACTTGAAATAGAGCATGTAAAAACACAGGCAGGGTTATGTAACTCAGAGTGCACTGGTCCAGGAAAAGCTGAAGAGCAGTATTAGTGTGCTGCTGATAGTTTGACAACATTTCAATCCTTGAATGCAGAGTCGACCTTTTTGGTCTGCGTGAGATAAACTACAGTGTGGCTCTGCAGCAGTCAGTAGCTCAAAAGCACGGCTGCTGTGCTTACTGTGGTAATTTATACAGTGTCATTTAGTCTCTATAAAAGCAACATTTCATGGATTTGTATGTACTAAATGCCTGACAACATTATTTTAAAATAAATTATGCACAGAACGGACCAGCTCTCAGCCTAATTTAAATATGTTTGTGTGCCAAAGGAGGAAAGAAGCTGCTGCTAGGCTGCATACAGTATTCAGTTAAAGTCGATACTGGGTTATTTCTGCATCTAGGTCAAAAATAGACAACAAGGATACTGTTTCCCTCGCCTCTACTTTCTTGCTGTTGGGCCTGCAAGCTACAAGCACTTAAAACACTGATGTGATCTTCCTGGGAGAGAAAACCCTCAAAGAAAGACCCTTTGAAAAAGTGCTATTCACTGTTCACTGCTGCTTCTTATAAGAAATCTGTCACATTATCATTTTTCCGTCAACATTTTTACTAACATCTGACATCTGATGTTGGGCTCATCCTGCCAGATCCAGTTGAACTGTAAGCACATGTGAGATGTTTTGAATTGTGAACCAGTTTTTGATTCCACTCCTCAGATTGTTTGCAGTAGGGGGAAGAGACGGCAGCTCGTGTCTGAGGTCAATGGAGTGCTTCGATCCGCACACCAACAAGTGGAGCATGTGTGCTCCTATGGCCAAGAGGCGAGGGGGAGTGGGTGTGGCAACGTACAACAACTTCCTGTATGCTGTAGGCGGACACGACGCCCCCGCCTCCAACCACTGTTCTAGACTCTCCGATTGTGTGGAGAGGTCAGTTAATGCTCCTTCTCTGGAGGAAAATACACAAACACAGAAATGTTATGCAACTGATTTGGATTGCAGTTGTTGGAATTTAGTCAAGGGTGGGGATGAGGTTTTTTGACTTTCTTACAAAAACAAAAGGGAATTAAACTCCTATTGATCCACACCCTGTTCTTACATTTTGAGACATGTCTGTATTTCACTTCATGATACACAACCAATCCCTGAAAAGCTCATTGTTTCCACACTTGTTTCTATTTCACAGTATCTGGCTCCACCTGGTGGGCATAACAGAAACTGTTATGACTCACAATAAAGCTCCTTTAGTTGCATGTCACTACTATTTCACTGCTGTCTTTTCCACTCGAAAACATACTCTTGACTTTTTTAATTTACTTTTCATTATTTGTGTATTTAAAGAAGAAAAGTTACGATTATAGCTGAAATTGAATTTAAATAATCTATCTTTGATTCTGAAAGGGGGTTTAAAGAAGTAACACGTCTGTCATTCATTCTTAATTTTTGAACTGTTCCTTACTTTTACTTTTACTTTTCTTTCAGGGAACAAAAAAGGAAAGCTTATAACAGAAAACACTTTGCAATATCTCTTTATGTTTAATCTAAAGAGGATGTTTAGATGATGAAAATAGGACACTGACAACACACATACTGTATGTTCCAGTTGTAACTTGAATGCAGATTTCATCAGGAGTTCAGAGCTTTAACCACTTGTCATGTTGTGTCATATCCACTGCAGTTACATCTACAGATTATATACATAATACTCCATTATGAACTGTTTGCAGACCATTTCTGGCTCATTATGCATAAAACTAATACTAGTACCCTTTGTGAAGCAAGATAAGTGAATACACTTTTACATATCTATCAAATACCCAGAAACTGTTGAATGTAATTCAAATGATGTCTCTTCCCCGCAGTGTGGTGAAGAAATATAATTGTAAAACTCTGTGAACTGAGTTATTCCCAAGCTGCTATCGAAAACGAAATGTAGCTTTAAAGTTTCAGTTTATATACCCTCTGTAAGAAACGGAGCTGCTTGTAGTGACGACCTGTGTTTTAAAGTCTTAAAGTCACAGTTGGTGGGGCTGGTTCAATATGCTTCCCTGTTCCAAAAATGGTTAAAAATAAATAAGGAATTAACATACCCTTTTTGTTAATTCAGGTATGACCCAAAGACGGACACGTGGACCACTGTGTCCTCCCTCAGTGTTCCGCGGGATGCGGTGGGCGTCTGCCTGCTGGGTGACAGGCTTTATGCTGTGGGTGGATATGATGGCCAGTCCTATCTAAACACTGTCGAGTCCTATGATGCACAGAACAACGAGTGGACCGAGGTAATCACAAAAAGTCCTTACAACAGTGACACAACAAGCTTTCTCTCTTGTATTCTTTGTGTTGATACATTTTAAAAGCTAGTTCAGTTTATGGACACTTTTGACATTTATAAAAGTTGACATATTGTATGGATTTGTAGCTTGTTTTTGCCAGAGCTGGTAACATCAGGGTTCTAGTTATCACTGTTCAGGGGCCATAAGTCTGCTGGATTCTCTGAATACCATTAATATTTTAGAGTTGTCTTGTGTTATTTTGCAACTTGTTTTTCCACTTTGCCTCTGTAACCCCATTATCTGCATGAAGTAAAATGGGATTTTCTGAAACAAGCCTCAGACGAGCGGCTGCACGTTAACCCCTCTGTCTTCCTGCAGGAGGTCCCTCTCAACATTGGCAGGGCAGGCGCCTGCGTGGTGGTGGTGGTGGTGAAATTGCCTTGAGCGCTTTGTCTCACGACAGCACGGGAAACAAATGAGAGAGCGGCGCAGAAGAGTGGACTAGCAAAACAACAGATCAAGGACACATCCTTCGAGAGTTCTGCTTTCATTTCATTGTCCCTTAACTCAGCTCTCCAGATTTTTCAGAGGGAAACACAGACAGAGCCTTGCCCATAAACCATTGTTTCTATCATTAGTGGACATGTCTGCCCATGGGGAGAGGACTGCACATTCTCCACATTCTCAACCGATCAAGAATTTTCATAGACTTGGCTTGGCTGTAGCAAGAAGCCAAGCCTCTGTTGTTCTGGTTTGTTGAACTAGTTTTATGAAGTTCTGTGTATGTCTGTGACATTTAATGTGAAAGTGACATTTTGAGAAAATAAGCCTCAAACTTATTTTACATCCACACAGAGACTTTTCTTATCAGTGACATCACAATATAGTCTCTATTTTTGGGTTTGTATTTCACTTTTTAGCCACACAATTGAAACATAAATGTAACTTATGTACCAGTGTTGTTCCTTAGTGCGTGGTCCGAACACATTCTTACTCTTTATGGGAGAAGACCACTGTGAACACTGAGGGTCTATGTTTGTCAGGCTCGTTTGAAGAACAGGGGAAACAACAGATTCTGAATAATAGATTCGGATGTTTCCTTGACTTCTTTTTTATGGAGCCTGTAGCTACAGAACACCAAAGTCATTTGCTTTTCTTAGAAGTCTCGTTACGCATTCAATACAAGTTTACAAAATTGTGAATTACAGAAAATATATCATATTGATATTTTACATTGCTGTACAGATTTCTGGTGAACTTTCTGAATATGTGTTGATAGAATCATGCCTAAACCAGTGCGCTCTGGTGACTACAGTTATTAATATTATTATTATTATTATTATTATTATTATTATTATTATTATTCTGTCTTGATTACTGGGCATGCTAGCTGATTTGATTTATACAACATTACATATCAAGATCACTGTCTGTATTTCTAATGATGGGATGCCTTTGGGGTCATGGAGATGATCTTGTAATAAAAAAACAAACATTGGAATAATCTGCAGGCATCAAAAATCTCTTCACTAACATGACTTTGATTACAATTTTTAGATTTGTAGTTGGTTCTGCTAATTAAATTATAAAAGAATGACTCACTTGATCTCAATAAGAATAATTTGTATCTGTAATAAAAACACGTTTTGAGGCAAAGTGTTACTTTCTATGCTTTTATCATAATTTTGTACAGCATGCAAACCTATCAATAAAATGACCTCAGTCTTCTCTGCATGTTCAATTCCATGTTTTGAGCTGAATGTGGCCCCTCAGCGGGCAGGTTTTTTATTTCTCTTGTTCTGCTTTCAGTAAACTAAACGGATTCTTTGACCAAACAGAGTTTGAAGCTACTTTGATGTCAGCATTAACCTCAGCTTTCTCCTTGTTGCAGCGCTGGCTTTTCAAATCAAGCAAGCATGTTTGCTGATATCGCTCTCTCATCACCAGCCTGAAGACCAACTGCTAGTACTTGGCTTTGTTTTTCTCATTGTTTACCCTCCAAAAGTTGTAGAGGCCCTCCACCCTTACCCTCCCCTCGCTTGTTTGGATGGCTTTGAACGTTCTTTGCATACAAAACACTTGCTATGTGTTCAAGCAAAGGTTTTATTCCAAAACTTGTTGGTCTGTCAGAATGCTCAACATATTTGGCACAGCTTTATCTTTTTAGTTTTTTGAGGTGTACGTCTTTTTTTTTTTTTTTTTTTTTTGCCAATCCATTTCTCATCTGATGTGAAGATAAGCCTCTCTCGCTATCTTTCTATTTCTGTTTATCTGCATCTCCTGTCAGATCTTATAATGGAATTCAATAAAGGATAATAGCTTTCACCTAAGTTCTTCTCCTCAGAATATTACTGAAGCCCCAGTGTGCACAAATATAACCAATTCAGAATTTTTGTGTAATGGCTGTGGAAACCTGAGACTATCATGATGAAGATAAGTTTCAATTAATTTTTCCATGCATTATGAAATCATAGATCCTAATGTGCAACATTTGACTCTTTTTTTTCTGTTAATCTCTTTGATGTTCTCTCTCTGGGTGTTTGTTAAGAATTGTCCAAATTGAAATGCATCTGTTCAGGACTGAAGTGTTCTCTGCCTCCAGAGAGAGTCAGCACCATGTGATCAAAGTATGATGTCATACATCAACTCAAAGCAGGCAGATTTCCCGGTCTGATTCTGGCTTTTAGAAAAATGGGCTTTATCTTACAGAACAACATTAACATATTCTAGAAAAGAGCTGGGAAACCAAGATGGCAGTGTTTTTTCTTCACTGGTGTTATCAAGAAAAATAAATAGCTGATTTAATAATAGTTAGGTGGTGCTGCAATGATTCAACTCAAGCTGCTTTGTTGTAGCTATATTATTGAATAATCAAAATAAAACAGACTGCGATCCTCAGTTCTTCTTTAATAGAATTCCAGGTCTTAAAAGCGTAGACTATATTTCAGTCTCCTTCAAGGATATCTTGAGGTTATCCTGACGTGTATTAAAATCCAAAAAGTACCTAATCATATTCAATTGCTTAACTTTTTATTTTATTCTGGATCATGTAAATACACACCATACAACAGGCCCTCCCCTAAAAGTGGCACTTCAGGTCATTTAGCTGAATACATAGAATTCACAATACATGACACTATTGTCCTACAAACAGAAGCATGTGGGTCACTTATTTGGGAGCATTTTAAAAAATGGTTTATGCCAAATGAAAAAGAAAAAAACTGTCTTTACCGATTGCCTTTACTTAAAACCAGAGACACGACACAAGAGGAATAGGAAATAGAGAAAAACAGTATGTATTTTTTTTCAAAAGAAATTACTGAAAGTGTGCATTGGATAAAAGCTTTTTAGTGCACAGGCCTAATGCCAGCTCTTAATTTGGGTAGTTTGTTATGAAAGTGTGTAAACCAAGTTTTGAATTATGCATCCCTGCATTTTGGTTTTGTTTGTGTACAGCTTGATTCACTTTAGCATCCTTTCAGCAGTCTCAGCAAACATGCACGTGCACATGCACACGCACACACTAACACACCTTCTATCTATGCTGTATTCATGGTGATGTAATCATACCAAAAATGATCCATAGAGGGTGCTATTGCACCGCAGACAAAGTATCACACAATGCTTACCACTGCAAATCATAGATCTCCAATACCATTACTGTTCATAATAAATGTCAGTCGGCATTAAGAATGCCAAGGACAAATACTTGAGCTAATAACCCTGCATAATTATTGAGACACAATGATGAAATGTTAGGAAATTGGATGTTAAGGCGTCTGCTTCTCCTACTTTCAAATGAGCATCTTTCAGGGATGCATAAAGGCGAAGGAGATGAGTTCTGACTTGAGAGACGGTATGTCAGGTTTTAAAGGGATTTTGGCATCACAAAAGTTTGAACAATCTTTTATAATTGCATGACAAATGTAGACAGATTGTTCTATTTTGGAGCTCTGCTCCTTGCCTTTTTCTGATATTTTGTAGGAGTGATGGAGTAGCACTGCCTCATTTTTTATTCTTTTTTTATTTTTTTTTCGTGACAGTGAACAGAGATGGAAAGTGATGAGAGAAAGATGCAACAGCACAGCGTGAGCTGCAAACATCATTCTATATTGATTGTTGGTTGTAAAGACATTCTGTCTGTGTGCCAGGTTGCTTTCTTACACAATATATATTTCAGGATTTAGGAGGACTACATTTTAGGTTTGTTTTAAAAAATAAATCATCAGTCACAGAATTTTTAGATTTCACCAAACACGTATCTTCTGCTAGTCAAATAAACGCTGCATAATTGTTTGCTGTCAAAACACCATCATAACTTCAGACAGATCAGTTGGCCTCACGCTCACTGAAGAATGGCTGAAAGAAGGGATTTGGATGGTTTATTTGTCAAAACACAGGGTACAAAAAAGAGTGAGAATAAAAAAATATAAAAAAAACAGCATGCAAGGGATCATCTTCACCACAGGGACAAAAGACAAGATGGATCCCGCTAGAAGTGCCACAACAAACTGTCAACTTAGAATAAGATTGTCCCGTCAAGCCTGCTTAAATAAGCCTGTTAACATGGCACTGTTGACATCCAGCAATGGAGCACCGTGTCAAGCAGAATGTTGTCTTCTCTTCCCAGGTGACGGCAAATTGATTTGCAACAATGCAACAATTTTTTGTCAAGCGACTGACTTCACTGAGATTTAACATACAGGTAGCGGGACAGCATCAAACCACACAGGTGTGTGTCACTATACAGGTGAAGCTGAAGAAAAAAAAAATCTCCTGCTTGAGGAACTATACCACCAACTACAGCCTTGAACTTGAACACTGACAGTGATGAAGTAGTTGGCCTAGCCTTCAGGAGTCCAGTGCTGATACAAAGAATGACAGTCAGTCTGATCAAAGGCAGCAGACAAGTGCTGTAGAATGTTTCCTCCCCCCCCCGAACCCCCTGTCTCTACCTAATGATAGTTGAATTCATTGTCATCTCATTATCTTTGAAGAGGGGAAAGATCCCTCCCGTATGAGTGGGCACTGTGTCTCTTGCCATCAGACAGGCCCTAAGATTGGTGAAGCGCATTCTTGTCTCATTACGTTGAGTGAGAGGTATCAGACACATCCCATCTGCCTGACGCCTTCCGCACACATGCCGCCATGCTTCAACCGCACAAGCTGGTGCAGAAATACAGCATGAACCTTATCTGAAATTCTACATCCCTGCTTTGAGAATGGTATTCCTCTAAACACTGCTGCTGACTAAAACACTGCATGCTTAAATCTCACTGAATGCTGGCTTACTCTTCATTGCACACGCGGCTGATTTGCAGTGCCAACCATCGTAGAGCCAACTACTCTCAGACACGCGTCTAGTCTGCTACTCTTATCATCATTAATATTGCAGCGTAACTTGTAGTTTACTTCTTAATGGTTTTAAACTAGTACACAAAGCCCATTTATCCCCCGGCAACTGGCTGCAAGGCTTTTTCTGGTTGCTTCTGACAAATGAAAAGAGAACAAAATTCTGCAGTCCCTCCCAATTTTCCACTTTGCAAACCCTCTCTGGGGTAAAGGAACAGCACAGATAGAAATAAGAAAATCAGAGCACATTACAGAATCACACACTGATGCAACAGCACAGCATATTGCATCAAGAATGAATATAAAAAGCCATATACAGTCGCTGAAGCATCCTTTTTTAATTTTTCAATCTAGACATACAGTATAATTAAATTCAGGGATAATTTTAGGCCTTGGTTGACTAGTCTTATTGTGCCCGAAGCCAAAAGTGAACAATAACTTGTGACAGAAACACCAAATTGGTCCCAGTTTCTCTTGACTGGCTTTAACAGATGTCATGGGCCGATTGCCAAAGCATCTTATCGTGGACACAGTAAAGTGAAACCACAACACTGATCTACATGATGGATGTCAGATCAAAATGAATCCAGCCATGGTTTTTACCAGCTTTGAATTCATGCATGGGGGAAGCCTGTCAGGGGCTAGAGATGATGTGGACACTGGCTCTCACTGTTTGTCAAGATTTTACATCCCTCCCCCTCGCTTCTCGTTTGAAGCTAAGCGTCTGCCGTCTAGCAGCTTGCTGCCAATACGCCTGAGAATCTAGATCCAACATTTGTGGACTTCATACGGGAATAAATGCAATTAGACTGTTTTGTGGGTGCTCCGCATCCCTTTGCACACACCCAATGCAATCTATCATTTTAATGGGCCTCAACTTTGCCAGGCAACATTGCTTTAAATTGGTAACTACACTTGTCTGTTCCGTATTTTATGTGTCAAATTCAGACAGGAAACTTGTGACCCATCAATGGTGCATTTTTCACAGCAGTTTTGCTTCTTTGAAAGGCTGTGAGGAACTAAGAAACACAAAGCAGACTTTGGAAAGCATCAAACATTGTTTTGACATTAAATGGAATAATGAGGAGGCATCAAAACCTGAAAAGGATCACCTACGCAAACTGCCCAATACTTTAAATGAGATCTGTTGTTTGTTTTCTGATGCAGCTGCAACTCGCAAAGTCTCTCTTGTCCAACTTGCTTGCAGCCTCCATAATTTATAAAACATCATGTCAACTTTAATAACACAAGATCTGGTTTTGTGAAGGACACACACTATATATGTTTTATAGCCTCATTTTTTC